AAGTCAATTAAAGAATTTGGGAAAAGGAAAAATTAGGAGTAATTAATTTTTTTTTTTTTTTTGTAAAATCGTTGGAAGTCGAATTGAATAATTTTGAATTCCTTCAGATGTCGATACCCCCGAACCGGACGAGAAGTCTCTGATAACGTACATCTCCTCGCTCTACGATGTATTCCCCGAGCCACCGCCAATTCATCCCCTGTATGACGCCGACGCCCAGCGTCGCTCCGCGGAATATCGCGAGCTCGCGAGTTCCCTCCATCTCTGGATCCGCGAAAAAATTTCGATAATGCAGGAGCGCGCCTTCCCACCAACTCTGATTGAGATGAAAAAATTGGCATCTGACAATGCCAAATTCAAAAATGAAGAAGTACCACTGCGATATCGCGATAAGCAACGACTCACCCACATATTCCGAGATCTTCAAAAGTATTTCGAGGCAGTGGGTGAAATTGATATGGAGCAGGAGTTGCACATCGATGTCATCGATAAGAACTGGAATCGTCTTATGCACCTTCACCAGGAGAGAGAGCAGGCAGTTATTGATGAGATAAAACGATTGGAGCGACTTCAGAGACTCGCTGAGAAAGTCCATCGTGAAATGAAAGCAACTGATAATCGTCTGGAGGAGTTGGAGCGCCGCGTAGAGGATGAGGCACGTCGTCTGGATCGACTCCATCCACTTGAGGCTAAACACGCCGTTGATTTGCTTGAACAGGACATTCGCAGCACTGAAATATCCATTCAAAATATTTTCACTGACGTTCAAACTCTCATCGATGGCAAATACAGTCAGGCCGGAGAACTCTACAAGAGAGTACAAAAATTACATCAGCGTTGGGTGTCATTGCGCTCTCTATTGCACAAGCGTTTGGTTGAGCCCCTTTCAGCAGTATCATTTCCAGTTGAGGAGCGTGTCGTCACGAAACACCGTACAACCGTCCACGAGACACGTTTAGTCGATACAAATCCACATTTTCGTAATTTGCACGACTGCATAGACTGGTGTAAAAACAAACATAAGCAGCTGCTGGAGGCTGACTATGGCTCGGATTTACCGAGTATCAAGAACGAGTGGGACATTCACCAGCGAGAGCACAAGAATATCGAACAATTTCGAAGTAAAATCGAAAAGTGCGTATACGCTAAGAGTCATTTTCACGGTGAAGAGCTGTCACTTTACAGCCAGCATCTCAGCACACTTCAGCAGATTTACTCGGATTTACTGGAGATATCTAACAAGCGGCTGTCTGATCTCGATGTTCTTCATGATTTTGTGCAGTCAGCGACCAGAGAGTTGCACTGGTTCAACGCCAAGGAGGAGATTGAAGTCACTCGGGACTGGAGTGATAAGAATCTCAATGTCCAGAGTGTGGAACAGTACTATGAGGTAAATTGCTAGAAGGTTTATTATTCTTATTGTAAATACCACTTCAATTGGAACAGTTGGAAGAGAGGGGTTACAGTAATTGCGTTAATTATTCTAATGAATTTGCAATACTCTCAGCTTTCATTTCGGGATAATTATCTCTTTGAACAATTGTCAAGACCCTTGACTAACCATTAAGATAAACCATTTAATTAATTATATTTCATTATTTACAAGCACACATATGGCTCAGGATCAGAGGTATACAGCCCTGAAAAATCTACCAAAAAAAAATTTGAAAATAAGTCGAACCTGATAATTGTATTTTCTTTTCAGAATCTTATGAATGACATGGAGAAACGTGAGATCCAGTACGTGGCAGTGCAGCAGCGTGCAGAAATTCTAATAAGCCAGGGTCATCCAGCCTCAAAAACAATCGAGGCATACAGCTCGGCGATGCTGAAGGCCTGTTCCTGGCTGCTGCAGCTTACCCACTGCCTCGAGGTGCACCTTAAGCATGCTGCAGAGAGCCAGCAATTTTTCAAAGAGGTACAGCAGGCTGAGCAGTGGCTCTCGAAGCAGGACGAAGTCCTCAACACCATCTACTCTCAATCAGAATTCAGTATTGACGAGGGTGAACGTCTGCAGCGAGGGCTTAGTGAGCTTCGAGTGGAGCTTGAGGGGCACGAAAAACAGGTGAGAAGACTGATGGATCAAGCCAAAATAATCGTGCCAATGAAGCAGAGGAGACAGCCAGTGACAAGACCACTCCAGGTGACTTGCATATGTGAATACAAACAAGTGAACATGTCAATTGAGAAGAACGAGCAGTGTACACTGTACGATAATTCTGGTAGAGTGAAATGGAGAGTGAAAAATTCTCAGGGTGTCGAGTCCCCAGTGCCAGGTGTTTGTTTTTCACTGCAGCCACCGGACAAGGATGCCCTCGATGCTGCTGAACGTCTGAGACGTCAGCACGACAGAACAACAGCCCTCTGGCAACGCAAACACCTTCGCCTGAGACAGAACACCATTTTTGCCACAATTAAGGTCGTCAAGGGCTGGGATTTCCCTCAGTTTCTGGCTATGGGACAGGAGCAACGTGCAACCATCAGGAGAGCTCTCAATGAGGACGCTGAGAAGCTCCTGGCTGAGGGTGATCCAGCTGATCCTCAATTGAGAAGACTCAGGAGGGAGATCGCTGATGTTAATCGATTGTTCGACGACTTTGAGAAGAGGGCGAGGGCTGAGGAGGAGTCCAGAAATGCTGGGAGGATTTTTGATGATCAACTTTCCTCCCTGAAGCTCTCCCTGGACGAGTACGAGAGGATTTTGAATATAAGAATTGCTTCGCCATTGCCTAGAGACTTGGATAGCCTCGAGCATCTCGTTCTCGAGCACAAGGACTTTGAGCAAAATTTACAGAGACTGGCTCCTGATTATGAACAAGTGCAACAAACGTTCAGGGGAATTACCCTGAAGACACCAGCCATGAGAAACAGATTGGATGATGTTATGACAAAATGGAATCATCTGTGGAATGTCAGTAATCTTTATATTGAGAGGCTCAAGTGTGTGGAAATTGTTCTCTCTGGATTGGAGGAGAACACTGCTGCTATTTCTGAATTTGAGATTAAACTTGCATCATACTCTGAGCTACCCTCTGATGTCAAGGGTCTGCAGATCGTCCTCGAGGACATCATGGTCCTTCAAAATGCTATTGGACAGCAGCAGATTGCTATGGATCAGCTCAATGATGATGCACACAATGCTAGAAGACTTGTGGAGAAATCCCGACCAAATCATCGTGGACCTCACAGCGATATGGATCGTCTCGATGCTGAGGTCACCAGGCTCAATTCAAGGTGGACGAATATATGTGGACAAGTTGTCGACAGAATGAGGAGTGCTGAGGCTGCTTATGCTCTTGCACAGAAATATCACACTTCTTATCAGAGTGAAGTCGACTTTGTCGATGACAGTTATAACAAACTCGAGACATCTTCACCAGTTATGAATAAGGCCCACGAGCT